AGCCAATTGCAATAAATTTACAATAAACCCCATCTTGCCACTCTCATAACTTCACTTTCATAATAGTACGCTTGTTGTTGCTGACACTTTAATACTACTCAAAGTCCTTCCAGGAGATTTCCTTTTTTAGGTGTTTTTGATTATAAACAATTGGCTGTTTTCACTTCCACAGAGCCAACAGCAATAATTTTACAATAAACCATGTCTTGCCACTCTTACGACTTCATTTTAGAAAGCAATCATTCAAATTGCAACTGTAACTTGCTCAGCATGGTCAGCACATCTTAGCTTATGACATAACTTCAGGAATGCAACTATTTCTTGAAATGAAGTTTCAAGTTTAATGCTCACTATTTCCCTCTGCAATATATAGTAACCAATTCTTTTGTTTAAATCTACAAACCTATTTCTGATTCACCCTGCCAGGTTTAGTATGTTGCACTTTATTTTTAAAATCAACTATATCGCTCAGTTTTTAGTTGATCGATTAATTCCTTAAAGATGCATGCTGCAATTATGCAACAAAACAACAACAAAAAAAAAGTTTATGTACACAACTTTCCCAAGTGTGCCTAGAGAATAAAATATTTCACTTGATTCCCAAAGAGCTAATAATATTTTGACAAAGAATTGACATATAACATATAATATGTTGTAGAGCATGGGAGTGTAGCTTCAATCACAAAAAAATGCTGCAAATGTTCACATAGCTTTCAGACATAGTTGAACTTGCTGCTGCATGTTATCAACAATCCATTCTAACAAGTTCCCATTAATAAATCAGATTACTTCATTAAAGACAGGGCCCACTAGTAGCCAAGCGAAAAAGTTGCTTAAAACTGCTAGTTCAGTCCAAGGTTTGAATCCTACGAATGGGTTGGCTGCATAGACATTTTATGGTTTTACCCATGTGTAACATGCATACAAGCCAGTTTCCCTTAGAAAAACCTCCGCAAAGGCATTCCTCCCGTTAGGCAGATAGCTCTCGTGTACTTTGCAAAATCAAATAAATCTAAAACCACGCCTTCTTTAACCCTTTCCGGCACACTACTTTTTAAAGTTGGAGTTTTGATTTAAAAAAAAAAAAAAAAAAAGGTAGGCACTCTAATTAGGCCTAAAGGAGTACTCAAGTAAAATTTTGTGAAGATAGCACTTATTGTTTTAATTCTGTGGCTGTGCCCAAAGTGGGCATACTGACTGAATAGAGCTTCGAAAAGAGTGCTGAAACGAGCATTGTTGTCAATGAACTGACCGACGAGAATGCGGAGAAACAAAGAATACAGACTCTCAGTTGTCCTAGATTATCGGCGAGTGCAGTCTGGGCACACCTAGGGTTCGCCGTTTGATTTTAGGCAAGATTTCAAGGTAAAAATTTAAAACTAATATAGAATAAGGGGATTAGCATACAGCCAAAAAATAAAACAGAAATTTCTTTTCAAACAATTCCTTTTATACCCTAAAAAAAATCTGGAAGATTTCTTTGAAAAATGAGGGTCTTAAAAAACTAAACATGGCTAAAATACATGGACTGTCTTGTGTTGAGCTCCCATCTACTATAAATAAAGAAGGTTCAGAGTAACCTATAAATCCTTTTTCATTCAATTTTTCTGTGCATACAGAAGGAAATTTTTAGGTGTGTCCAGACCGGACACACTGTGCCGCAAAGGGTTAACAAGAGAAATTTATTTTTGTGAGCACAATATTTCAGATAACATAGATTAAAATGAGTCATGGCCTTAATATATTACTATTATATTTACAAGACTCGAGGTCACTTGATAATAATAATACTATAAAAATATTCTTTTTACACAGAATTAATTTCTATTAAGAATCTATTAATTTACACACTGCAACCACCAAAGTTCTAACCCAGCCTTTATTTTCGCAACTGTTGATCTTAGGCCCATAGTTCTAAATGCAAAAGTGTTTCAAAAGATTTGTGTTTTGGCATTTTTAAATTTAAAAGAACTGATACTATGAAATCTAACATTTCTCCATTCCTCTGGTCCCTGCACATATATTTAGGACACTTCTGCACTTCTTATAAAAAATTAAACACAAAAAGTTTGATTCTCATGTGGCAAAAACTATCAAGACATTCAAAATTAAAATTCCGACTTATATTTAGGGGCTCTACACAAATTGAAGAGTGAAATGTTTGCATTTGTGCATAACTTAAAAAGACACCATTTAGGAATATGTTTCTGACATTAAGAAATTACGTGCCAAAAATTTCTATGCAGATTATTACGAATAATACTGATCAATATAATTTTTTAAAAAAAATGGAGATCTTATTCATTAAATCTTATATAATTTGCAATCTAGAAAACATTATTCGCAAGTAGCCATATTGTTCCTGTTAATTAAAGATGGAAAATATTTGCAGTTCAATGAAATTTGGTACAATTACCAGATTAAAATTCTACAATAATAATACTTCATGAGAATATTAATAACAATTTTAAACTTTGTAAACTAATAAATAACTTGTTTGGAAATTCTTTCAGCAAATCAAATGTAACAAAAGTATAAATTAAAGATGCTAAAAAAAATCAAATAACAATATCACTGAATGGCATTTACAGATAAGAAAATCCACTTTAAATTATTCAAATTTATTTATTAACCAACGTCTCAATGCAATTTGAATATGAAATCAAAAATCACAAAATTTTAAATTAAATATCTCGTTCATTTTTTGTTGCACAGGAGACTTTTTTGTTTTATTTTTTATAAACAGTGCATTATTTTTCTAAATTTAAATATAGGGACCAAAGGAACATATAAAAAGTTACATTTTATAATTTTTTAAAACCGATTTCTTTAAACATCAATATGCCAAAATATCAATCCTTGTGTGACTCAAACATTTTTGTAATTGGAAGTACACTTGTTCTAAAAAAAAATAAGTACCAAGCACTAAAGAAAATGTATGAATGTAAAAAAGGGGAATTAAAACATACAATTTATTTAAAAAGTAGAGGAAATGAATAAAAATAAGCAACCACAATTAGGATAAAATGCAATCCTGCAGTTACAGCACTATGCTTTAAAGGGGGCATGCCGGACCTATGCATCAGCTCACAAGCAGCAATATTTCAGTATAATCCGTGGTAGCCACAGCAAAAAGCATGAGCTGAAGACACCATTTGCCTGATAAATTATGCTGGAGGTTAGAGGGCTGTTGCAAGCTGGTGGAAGACAATTTGCTGTTGCGAGAGAGCTGAATGTGCACTGTAGTGTCTTTAGTAGCCTATGAAGTTGTTATCAAAGGGATCAAAACTCACGTTGAAGACGTAGGTCTTGATGGAGGATTACCACAATGGCAGAGGATCACTTCCTGTTGCCATAGATCACTAACAGCACAGCAGCTGGTGTCATACCTCTCTCTTGCTGCAGGGTGGCCCATATCATGTCAAAGTGTCACTTTAGCTGCATGAAGGTGGACTGTATGCCCGATGACCAGTGGTTTGTGTTTTTTGTCCCCATCACATGCCAGAGCATGGTTGAATTGGGCCTGTGAATATTGCAGATGGATACTAGAACAGAGAGGCAATGTATTCTTTATAGATGAGTCTTGATTTAATATCTAGAATGATTCCCGAAGCGCAGTGATATGGCGAGAGCCGGGGCATGTTATTGGGCACCAAACATTGTTGAAAGAAACCATTACAGAGGATAGAGCTGGGACAGCAAAGAATAGCCACACTGCGATTCCTCGTGGTTCCACCATAGGCATCGGATATTGCACTGAAATTCTATCCCCTTGTGCATTATTGTTTTATTGCTGCAATAGTTACCTGCCCGCATACAGCTCGAGTGGTGAGGAGTCATCTCGAGACAGAAAACATTCCACATCTGCTGAGGCCTGCTGACCCAACCTTCATTCCATACAGCATATGTGAGATGACAGATAGCGGATCATAGTGTGGCACCAGGCACCCTCGACAAGCTCCGGCATACATTACTACAGGAATGGGCGCTATTGCAACAACAAGCGATCAACTGTACTATTGCCAGCTTTCCTTGCTGCTATCAAGTATGCATTTCCTCTAATACCCATTATAAGTGTGATGTTTCCATTGCACATTATTCCGTCCCATTTGGTCTTTTGCGATGTGATGGTCATAATGTGTTTTTGAATGTCTTTGCTTTATTGTTTGTTATGTGGTCTAGTCAACACTTATGTGTGTTATGTGGTCAACATCTTAGATCAATTTCATATATACCCATTAAATAGTTTTTGTTTCATTCTGTGCTTTACCTTTGTTGCTTATTTTTTAGAGGAGTGTATTGTCTACAATCCATGATTATAAAAATAAACGATGGATAAGGACTTTTGCGGGCATGAATTTATGGTTTTTAAATGTGCATTTTTAGCAGATGTGTACAAAGGTTTCTCAGGATAAATGAAGATGGATTGTCAGTTTGAAATTCATAAATCAGTAAAGTTTAATCTTAAGCTAGTTTACTAACAGAAGTGACACAAAGAAGATCAACAATAATTGGCATAGATTTTATTTTAGCTGTAGTATGTTTGGTGATTCAAACACTGTTGTATTCTTTTCACTGCAGATGAATGAAAGACAATGAGATGTCTCACTCAATTGTGAATGAAGAAAGGAATAATGTTTAAACTGCTAAAAGAGCTTCAACGACTACAAAAAAAAAAAAAAAAAAAAAAAAAAAAAAGATTTACTGTCACTGGTATTCTTAGTCAGTTTCAATCAGTGTGTTCTCTCCCACTTGCAAAAACATTTGAAATTTTCTTTAAAAACAGCACTAATGTAAGAACAAATTTTGTTCAATTTTAAATCTCCTTCTTCTTTTCTGATGCTCCTGATGAATCAAATGACAAGAATGGAACAGGAAACCAATTACCTGCTTTAAAACACTTTTTCCCCCCTCCATAATTTATGTTAAGGATATAAATGCAATTATATATACAAATAAAATTTAATAAAATATTTATCAAACTATATTATAAAGGATACATCAGATCAATGCTGGCAGAATTATAGACAGGTGTAGTAACAGATTTGCGATTCTTTGCAGATTTGTTAGAATTCTTCATTAATACCTTTAAAATAAATAATAAAAATGCATAAATCATATTGGAATACTTTAATATGAGCATCTTCATGAATAACTAAACAGGATGTCAATCATCTTTAATCAGATGATTAAATTAATGATTTAAATCCTGATTTTAATCAGCAGATTAAAAAAAATCATCAATTAAAACTGGACAATTTCCTCATTTTTTTAAAGACATTACAAGAAATGTGTTAAAGATCAAGAAAGTCTGTAATTCTTTTATAAAGAAATATTAATTGCTAAATTTAAAAAAAAAAAAAAAAAAGAGAGAAATTTTTAAAGAAATGCCTAGAAATGTTTCAGGTGTGAATTAACTGAATACCAAATAGATCATGGAAATCTAGCATAGAATGTTTTGGATAAGCCTGAAACTGAACATACCATTTAAGAGGCTAAGTGGTAAACTATTAAATGACAAATGAAGCACAGATGCAAAAATGCAAGAATAGTTAATCAAGCAATATGTACGGGTAGTTTGTTGGTGGAATTCTTGGGGCATAAACTAAAAGGTTATGATGCACCAAATACATGGTCTACTTACTACAAATTCACATGATAATTTTAAACATAAAATCAGATTAAACATACCAATAAAATAGACACTTTGAGCAAAGGTCCTTAATCTCAGCTAAGATGGTAAAACATGAGTGTGGTTAATTCTAAGTTGAGCAAATTGAACTTCTTCCCTCCAGTTTCTATTACCATGCCAGTCTTCCACTTTAGATTTTATGGGTCTCAACTTGTTGTGAAACTGAACATCCCAGACTTGTTGCCATTTATTGATGATATTCGGCCTGATGACAGTGCTGATATCTTTAAAAGGAACAAGCTGACTGGTCAGTTAAATTGCAGAATTAGACGCAATGTCTGCCAGCTCACTGCCTTTTATTCCTGCATGTTCTGAAACCAAGCAGTAAAGTATCTGATAACCTTGCTTTTTCAATTTCAAATTTAGCTTTATTACATCAACAAGTACTGGATTCTACATGCCAGAAAATGTTTCTAGAGCTTTTAGGACACTAAGCGAATCATTATAAATTTTTAACTTCCTACAGCATAGTTTAGAAATGAAAGAAAGAGCATCATATATAGCAGATAATTCAGAGGTAAGGACTGAGCAAACCTCAAGTAAATAGATACATTCTATATGATTGCCACCAAACACATTACTTGCTACAACATGATTAGTTAGTTATCTGTATATATAAGAATATTTCCGCTGTATTTTTGCATATGCTCAAGAAAGGATTACATACATATAATCTTGTTGGCATTTCTCTTATAAAGTTGGTGTAAAGCATCATTAAGTTAGATTTGTGCTTGTTCCCAAAGTGGAATTCTAAAATGCTTTACTGTTTGGCTATAAAGATCAGTCATGGTATGTTCTTCAATAAAAGACAAACTCTTAAAGAGATATAAAGCACACGAGATGGTCATGCTTCAGACAGATGCTTACATGCCATCAAGCAAAAGCAGCTTTCATGGATGGCCATGCTGCAATAACATATTGAATAATGACGTAGAAAGAGTTGCTCATGCAACTTAAGTGATTCATAACAATAAGACTAGAAATATTCTAAATGCTCCAGAACAGACAGAGCCTGGTGATGAGAAGAACAGAATTTCAGTAAGACAGATAATGATGAGAAACTATAAACCCCTGAGCCATAATCCAATCCTGAGCAGATAAATACTCAGTACATCTGAAGCAATGGGCAATGACTGCAACCCAAGAGCTGTTCACTAGGATTTTTAGAAGGTTCAATGTTTACAGACACTTCTTCCTGAGGTACAAGACATGTTGAAGGCAGATCAGTTTTTGACAAAAAATCACACCTAAGAATTTCACCTCGGATGTAACAGAAATCAAAGATCCCTGAAAATAAAGCTTTGGCTCAGGATGAAGATTATGTTTTCAGCAAAAATGGACACAGTTTTCTGATTTGAAATGAAAATTTATGTTTATTTGACCATTTCTGGACCTATTATATGTGATATGCAGCTGTCTCCCAACATATCTCAGATCTGCACCATGGCAACTTATTTGAAGGTCATCAATATATAATGAATCTGTATTGGTTACAGGAAGTTACTTTTAAACTGAATAAGAATTAGAATTTATTTTTAAACTGAATAAGGTAACACTCAGAATGCTCCCTTGAGACACACCCTCTTCTTGTTACAAAGACATCTGTCATACAGAGCCATTTTGACATGATAAATCCTCGCCCTAAAAATGTTTGAATGAAAATAAGTAGTTGCTGTGCAAGCCACCTTTCACACCACTCACTAGCATGAAGATCACGCAGAATGTCATAGCTCTATACCTTAGTGTAAATTTTTTCTACATAAAAAAATACAGAAACCAGATGGTTTCTTTTCACAGAGCTTTACGAATGGATGTTTCCAGGAGGAGTACATTATCTACAATCGCTTTTCCTTCATGGAAATCACCATGTACTTTTATTAAATTGTTAGGCATTTTTAAATAAATAACATTGTACTAGTTAATGGTAGTTCATCCATGAACACTTTTCATTTGTTATGGTCTTACTGTAGCCGCATCCTTCGGAAATTAAATTATTCACATAATTAAATTTTCCCTCTCAATTTTTGTATGATAAAATTAGTAAAAAACAGAATCAAATGTGCAAACAACTATGGTAAATGTAATAACATATATTATTACAGTACAAAGTCCGTAATCCAGACTCGTTGGGACTTCGGCGATTCTGGATTATAGATCATCAATTTAAATCTTGTAAGATGGCATGTAGAAATTATACAATTAAAAATATGAAACCGTAATTCATGAAATAAAGAGCAATTATGATCTAAAGGGTATCAAAATTTACAAAAAAAAAAAAAAAAAAAAAAAAAAAAAAAAAAAAAAAAAAAAGCACCTTAATATTTATTTGTTTACTTTATTAAACATTTCTTTCAATGTAAGTTGTTTAAGTTGCTTCGTTTTTTGTGCTAATACTTTCTCTTTAATTCTATAAACAGACATAATTTCTTGTTCAGTTACAAAATTCCACTGTTCAAGTCCTGTAATTGCTGTGTTGAGAATACCGACTAACTTGTCAATCAAAATTTTTTCGTCTTCAATAACCTCTTTGTCACTTTCTTCACTATCGGAAGCAGTATTTTCTGAATCTAGAACCATACTACAGATTTCGCCGTCTGTTAATTGACTGATGATTGGAACATTGTCGTCGCAACAAAAAACTTCTATTATATCATCACCATTTATTACCACTTCTCCACACTTCTTTACAAAATCCAATAACTGGAAAATTTCACCTTTATTTTGCGATGTCCGAAAACATTCAAATTTGCGGCTATCATCTTCATTGTCCTCACCATGAAATATGGTAGCTGGCCATAAATTATGCCAAGCATTTTTTAACGTATCTGGAGACACATCCTCCCACGATCTTGCGATGCTCCACACAGCAGATTTTATGCTAAAAAATTTCCAAAAGTCTTGAATAGTCTTGCCATTGTTCAAGAAATTTAACATAGATTTTAAAAATGCTACTTTATATTTGCATTTCAGTGCGTGCTTTATTCCCATATCCATAGGCTGAATGATAGACGTACAATTTGGAGGGAAGAATAATACGGATACATTATCTTTCACTAAAACTTTATGTGAAGTATGCGCCAAACAGTTGTCAACAATCAGGACTATTTTTGAGTCATCAGGTAAACCAATCGAATTCAAATGTTGCCGAGCCTTGGGTTTAATATGATTTTCAAACCAATCATTCATCAACACTTGTGTCATTCATGCTCTTTTATTTGCGCGATATATAACGAGGGAAATCGTTACTACTTCACTCTTTCACTAGAAATTTTTAATTGTCTTATACCTTTTTAGTTGTCTTTTTAAATTTGGTTAAACAACCTGTCTTTTTAAATTTGGTTAAACAACCTGTCAAATATGTGCACTCAGTGTTTAAGTTCATTTCTTCATGAAATAATGAAATATTTTGGCTTGAGCCATTAGCATCGGACACGTCAATGGCATGCCCTCGCTCTGACGCTGTCTCACCCATTCAATCATCACTTTGTCATGATCGTCACTTTTAGCATAACGAACCCTTTTCCTATTATTCATTGCAAGTGGGGTGTCGAAATCCACAAAAAATTCAAAAAGTTCCTTTTTTGTTTTGCTTATGTCATATACAATTGACTTTCCAATGTCATACTCCTTGCATAATTTTGAGACGGACATGCCCTTTATCCATTTTTTGCAGCAATTCCACTTTTTGTTTGATGGACATCGAAACATGCTTTTGCTTTGTAGATCCTTTGGCAGCTTCAGAATTGGAAACTCTTTTTGACATAATCGAAAGTTCAAGCTTAATTTTTATAAAATTGCTCTAACAGTCTGCAAAAAATAATAAGCCGAATCCAAGGAACAGCGCAATCAGCAACATTAACTGGAATGCCTTAGAATCAGTAAAGATAATTTTAGCCTAGCTTATAATGTCCATTATACATTAAACGTGCATGCGTAAAGCATACAAAATTTGCCTTTGCGTAAAGCATACAAAATACACATTTGTGGCTTTGAGGTCCAGATTATAGATCATTCCGGATTATGGACTTTGTACTGTAGGTACTATTCAGTTTTGAAAGCCGTAAAAAATCGCCAAACTATTGTTGATGCCAGTGCTGCAAAAAAAAATTTCGGCAACCCTAATGCAAGAAAGGAAGTATAATAGTAAATAACTATCTAAGATTGATGTTTTAATTTAGATGAAAGGTTAAGTTCATATAATGTTTTTTTTTTATTATTATTTAATTTATATAAAAAAGGCTAAACATGACTGAATGAAAGCATAAGAGTAAATATTTCAGATCATTATTATAATTTATATAAAAATTGCTAAACATAACTGAATGGATGCCTGCATTGCTATTTCGCTACCGAGTCATCGCTAAAGCATATTTTCATCTCGTTGGTTGTTCTAA